GCACAAAGGCCGGCGGGGGCGCCAGGTAGGGCGAGCACCTGGCGCTGGGCGGGCGGCTGAGAGCGAAAGTGGCCGGGCGCCGCCGGCAGCCTCGCCGGCCGGGACTTCGCTGGGCGCGGGCCCGTTGAGTCTTTGCGCCGGAGAGGCCGAGTAAACACCCCCACCCCTCGCCCCCCACCGCTTCCCCGAGGGCGAGGTGACTGGCGCTTTTCGGGTGTACAGCGAACGGGTCGCACGGGAGGAAGTCGAGTGTTTTGTTCTTTTTCCTTGGGCTCTTTGGGAATATATGGAAGTGGCTGACTTTTTCTCTGACTCGGTTCTGACTTTTCCTCTACCCGCCCCCCATTAACCTGAACCGCATCCCCCGGGTCTTGGTGTGGTGTGCGTTTCTTCCCGAAGCACAAAAGCAAGGACTCGATTTTGAAGAGATTGATAGTCCATCCGAGAAAGAAAGAAAAAAAAAGTTCTACTACAAGGCTTCATATTTTCCACACTTGCTTCTTTTCAAAGAACCCTGCTTGGGTGGATGACCTGATCCTCTTCTGGTTTGTTTTGTTCCGTTTTAATGACCGTGAATGTGGAGTTAAGTCAAAACGATAACTAGTACAGCACCAATTTAAAAATCTATCCCTCATGACCAGCCTGAGAAATGTAGCAAAGGCCCATCCGAACGTACGTACAAAACTCGAAAGCAGCTCTAGACCCAGTGCTGTGTTTATTCAAAAGAATGCTTAAAAACAAAAGGGTCTTTAAAAGGGCATCTTTGACAGAAGCTTTTGCTTTTTACATAGTCCAAAATTGTGTCACCTCTGCGCCTCCCTAAGAGGACATTTTATCTGTAAATAAATTTCCTCTTTAAGTTTCAGGTTATAAGAAGTCAGTCTAACCTACGTTATTTTTGCAACCCCTGTAAGAGAACCATTTACTTACACTGAGTGTGTGGTTGGGTGGAGGAGCTACCTAATTGGGCCACTACCTAATTGGCCACTTGAATTTGAGCAATGTGATAGTCCTAGTACTTTGGAATTGCTATAATTATTTTCCGTGGTTCAATATTTCTAAAAAAAAAAAATCAATGTGTTTATGTCAAGAGCTTAAAGAAACTTAACTGAATTCAAATACTCAAGTGCTACCTTGAGAAAATTAACTTTCCCTTAGTTAATTCGTTTTTCTTGCTGGAGGCACTACCAAGTAGCTACGATGCCTTTTCTGGAGACCTCGGAATCTCCACACTCAGTTCTGCCGCATTGCTTTTGAAGAAGATGGTTGATCAAATGGGTGCAGAGGATGCATGTCCTAAGGAAGAGAATTGTTTCCAGAGCTGTGTAGTGTGTCTATGGGAGGACAGGGTGTGACCTACCTGTTGATGGGTTTCCTGCCAGCAGCAAAGGTGGCCCCAATGTGGGCATCCAGGAGAGACTCTCAGGGCATCAGAAAAAAGTTGAAACACCTGCTGTCCTGAAATCGGAGATGTGCCATCGCTCAATCGACTAGGTGTAGAGTAACCTGCAAAAATTAAATGAATCATTTCTTCACTGGCTTGAGAAATTGTTCATTAGCTCTGTGAGGTCTGAGAACAGAGCATCACCCGTCTTAAATAGTCAGAAACCTCAGTTATAATGTTACTGTTTTTATAAGACGCTTTCAAGCCAGATGAGACTTGATTTTGTGTTTCACATCTGTCTGGGTCTGCCCAGCTGCATCCTTCAGCTGCTTAGAACAGGAAGAGAAGGGGCATTGCCTTCAGTGGGTGTGCCTGAGGGTTAGCGTGGAGAATATAATTCCTCGGGCCCTTGACTGGGCTGTAGGGAGAGCACCTGTTTTGTTGTTTGCGTGCTTATGTGTGTGATCTTTTAGGAAGTCTGGTAGCACATGAGGAAGCCTCTCCAGCCATCCCCACGGCCGCCAAGACTCATTCATTTGTGACTCATAAGGAATATTGTCATTTTCTGATTCATGAGCACAGTATCCAGTTTACAGTTCACCTTCTAGCTTTTTCCTGAAAGTTCACTCTGGAACACTTTTCTCCATCTTTGGGGAAGTAACACCACCACCAGGCGATATTTAATTTGTACCTTTTTCCGTAGGAGACTTGAAGAACTGAAAAAGAAAAAATCTCTGCATGTCTTTTTAATTTAGTGTACCTTGGTTAGGAGGGTACAACAGTCTCCTTTGTCTTTAATTAAGGATCATACCCTACTAAGATTTCCTTTGTCACATCTGGCCTTATCATTTACAAAGGACGTTCTGCTTTGTGGCTGTGACAGTTTGGGCGGTCTAATGGGCTGGAGCCCATGTCTGTGGCTCTGCTATCTACTTTGAATACAGAAATTATTATTCATAGGGCTCCTCTGAACTTAAATATACTAAAATATTTAAGTAAATCTGAATTGGCCATCCCCTCAGACTGTGGTCAGGATACCTCCCTTTTTCCTCACTTACACATATTACTTAGGAGTAAATTGCAGATGTTATTCATAAAAAATACACAGGAATAGATTTAGGAACTTAGGCATCAGTCAGATAGCTGACTACAAGGTAGGTAGGTTCCTTTGGGTGAAGGCAGGGCATGTATTTAGAAAGCCTGGAATCCATTTCAAATATGTTTTCTGGAACGGTAACCTAGTCCATTCCCCCTGATCAGTTTATCAGATTTGCTAATAGTTTCCTGGCCAAAACGACATAATACAAAACCCAAACAAAACAAAAAATTGGGGGCGCCTGGGTGGCTCAGTTGGTTAAGCGATTGCCTTCGGCTCAGGTCATGATCCTGGAGTCCCTGGATCGAGTCCTGCATCGGGCTCCCTGCTCAGCAGGGAGTCTGCTTCTCCCTCTGACCCTCCCGACCCTCCCCCCTCTCATGCTCTCTCTCTGTCTCTCACTCTCAAATAAA